GTGCCTGAATACAGACCTGCCCCACTCTCTGCAAGACTACAGATCTGCCTAAGTGTGTTCCAGACTGCAGATCTGCCCCATTGCCCTGGTGTGTGCCAGACTACAGATTTGCCCCAGTGTGTTCCAGTCTGCAGATCTGCCACAGTATGTTCCAGACTGCAGATCTTCCCTGCTGTGTGCCAGTCTGCAAATCTGCTCCAGTGTGTTCCACACTGCAGATCTGCCCCACTGCCCCAGTGTGTGCCAGTCTGCAGATCTGCCCCAGTGTGTTCCAGACTGCAGATCTGCCCCAGTGTGTTCCACACTGCAGATCTGCCCCACTGCCCCACTGTGTGCCAGTCTGTAGCAGTGTGTACCAGGCTATGACAGGAGCCCCTCTGCTCTCTCCTTACACATTGAAGCAGAGCAATCCGAGCTGTGTGGGAAACACTCTGCAGCCTCATACTGCTCTGCTGCTGCTGTGACGTCACCGTGTCTCCCATCTCGGACAGGTGGCTCAGCCTGGACTGGCCTTCCATCGGAGCCCAAGCTGAGCCCGGTGCAGTCCAGAGAGCCCTGCCACGGGGCTGCTGGCCGGAGAGACCCGGGGAGAGATGTTAGATGTTAGCAGACCCCAGGATATCTGTTGATACAAAATCCTGTCCTGAGAGACTCCCTCTCGTCCGTCAGTCCTGGACCAATAAGAGTAGCAGCGGTTGGGGGCCGGTGTGCTCTGGCCAGGAGGCAGGCCGTTTCCTTGAGAAAGAGACCCACAGTTCTCCTCTCCCCCGGCCGCAGACGAGCTCACTCACCAGAATAGTATGTTCGGCGCTGGAATGTGCACTCAATTGTTGCAATATGTTGTGTGTTTTAATTGCCAGTAGCTTCAAAGGCCTGCCTCTCCCACAGCTGTCCCACACTGCCACAGACAGCTCCGTCCCAGGAGGCTGGTGTGCTCAGGTCTGGGGTCTCATTCAGAACAGGAGTCTGTGGGCCTGGTGTGCTCAGGCCAGGAGACTTGTTTAGGCCAGGAGTCTGTGGGTCTGGTGTGTCACTCCAGCTAGGCTGGTGTGCTCAGTTCTGGGGTCTCGTTCAGAACAGGAGTCTGTGCTCCAGGTCTGGTGTTTTGCTCAGACCGGGAGTCTGTGCTCAGGCCAGGAGACTTGTTTAGGCCAGGAGTCTGTGCTCAGGTCTGGGGTGTGGCTGGTCAATGCTCATTCCTACAGATGTGAGGATGGACCAGTGTCACTCAAGTTCAAGTCTTTATTCTGTCGTGTCAGTTCTCTTCCTCGCTGCTACAGCTCACATCTGTTTCTTGTAAAATGCTCCTGGGGAAAAGCTCAGGAGTCCAGCTGGTTGACTGAGCTCTTCTGTTCTTCTGTCTGCTGAAATGACGAATGTTTAATCAGTCCAGGTCTCTTCCATGAGAACTGTGACCCCACTCCTCTGACACACTCACTGTGGACACTGACCCCACTCCTCTAACACTACACTGAGGATACTGACCCCACTCCTCTGACACTACACTGTGGACACTGACCCCACACTGAGGACACTGACCCCAC